TTGAAACATGTTAAGATGTTTCAACATGCTGCCAGTGCTACAATTATGCTGTCAGTGCATAGTTGTAGCACTGACAGCATAACAAACAGAGCCAATCATATGGTTTACTATAAGTCATTGAAACAAAAGGTCAGTGAAAGCAGATTAGGTCAAGCGCTGCAGAAACATCTGCAGTGAGTAACCACAAACGCTCCACTACAACAAAGGCGGCTCAACCCAAGTATATAATTGTGCACTGATGTTCCTCCAGCAACATCTATATTTTGTTAGGTGCTCGGTGATGTAATCCAAAACATTTAGATACCAGTGCCATGCCATTGAATTTAGATCTGGGGAAACAAGTAGAGTAGAAAAACATCTTACAGGGGGGATACCTGCTGGGATTCTGGTACGAGGACATACATCTCCATAGATGTGAATAGTTTATTTTCTTAAAAACAGCTTTGACCTTCACCAGTGTTGATCTTCCCATGCTTTCTTACTGTTTGAGCTGGGACCCTACTTTTGCGTGTGTGCGTGTGTGCGTGAGTGTGTGCGTGATGCACAGGTCTTGTGACACGTCCTCAGACAGAGAGTGTCTGAAGGGAGAGAGAGTCTTCCATGGGTTGGACTCAAAACAAGTGACGCATGACTGAAGAGGCCCAGGAAGTTCCAGCAGGCGGCTGTTATTGCCGAGATTGTGTATGTATGCGTGTGAGTGGGTGTCTGTGGGAGTTTGTGTAAGTGTAAGTCCGGGCCCACGGGGGACAGCATGGGGCAACACAGGCTGGAGTGTCTGGGAAAAGTCTGCAGTGACAAAAGCAGCAGTGTCGCTTGCAGCATATCTGTCTGCGACACTTTACTCCCCTCGGAGGGCAGCAGAATGTGATCCATGACAACGAGGTTGGGAAAAAAATTTTTTTGTTGTTGTTTTTGCATAAATCTAAGGGAGTGCGAATACACTTTCAGAACTTGTTACTTGTTTACTTACATTTAGAATCCAGTTTAAAAATCTCTCAAGCTGCAGACAGATCAAATTATTTGCTGTTTCTCACATGTTCTCTCCCAGACCAACAGCCAATCACTCCCCAGACTGCATTGCTACAATGAGCATTCGACAGGAGTGGCTGTGACGCACTGGGCACAGGGAAACAAAAGCTTGCAGACACAGCAGACTTCAGGGCTATCAGCCGCGCTGTAATCTCAGCCCCATGGGACAGACGCATCCTTGTTGCTCCCACATGGCCAAATCAGACACAACACCGGGACAGAGCACGTTAAAGCCCTAACTAGGTTGCGCTGTGAGTTCTGTCACACAGACACAGTCAGACATGACTGTTTTCTATCAGAAGCATATTATGTGTTCCAAGATAGCAATGCAACAGATCATTATCCTCCAGACAATGCTTCCAATCTGTCCTCTTTGCTTCCAAGAGGACAGATTTTGTTTTATTTTGTTCTTTTTTTTTTTTTTTTTTTTTTTTACAAAATGGCAATTCACTGATACCAGACAATTTCTCAATAGAAAGTGTATTTATTTAATAGACCCAATGTCTCTGCACTCAAAAATATGACTGGACTTCAAAGCAAATTTGTAGAGTTTGGGTCTTTAGGGGAGAAAATTATGTTAAATAGAGATGTTGAAAGCTAGACGTCATCTTTTTTATGACTTCTCATCAAAAATTCATTTGGAGTTGCTTTGTTTACATCTTATACATAAGTTTGACTAGCAAATGCAAGAGAATAGTGATCACAATTCCTCAAGTCATTAAAATTCTTTTTCACAAAAAAGAAACTAAGTAATAGTTCAAAGTATAGAACAAATCACAATCAAAAAAACTGTTTATGAAATATAATAGAAATCCCTGAAATTAGCATGTATAAGGAGAGAAACCAATGAAGCAACATTGACCAGAAACGTCACATACCTTTGGGTAAATTTCATTCCTATGTGATGCCGATCTTAAGGACATATTTAAACACCTATTTTTTTATTTTCTACATTTTTTTGATTGCACAACCCTAATAAATTTGAGATATTTCAGTCAAGAATTTACACACATTTCAAAAATGTTTTTACAAATAATCCCAAAAATTTGGAATTTGTCCTTTTCCCTGGTTTTCAAAACCGTTACCTCCAGGAGACTCCTAAATATTACAAACATATCATCTGCATGTAATTTTATTTCAGTATTAATGCAACTGCACTGGATGTTTATAGAAGCAAACAATATCATGAAGATAGGGAACAGAAAGGGACAGATAAGAGAGCGCATTGCTGGCCATTTTAAAGCAAGATTACATAAAAAAAATCAATAAAAAATACCAAGCTTACAACATGTCATCTTTGAAGCATGCTCAACTCATCAACCAAAACTACAAAGAGGGTGGTATAACAGACCTTCTAAGGCAATCCATCTTAACAGCCTGAGCAAGAAGATGATCATTCATAGAAACTGCCAAGACATCTTTGTGACCGGACCTCCCAAGATCCGTGGCTCAGGTGTGAGCATTTGTTGGCAGGACAAGTATAGGTTATAAATATATATGCCCTCCACAAATCTAGCCTCCTGGAAAAGTGGCCAGAAGAAAGTGGTAAAAGAAAGTAATAAGAAATATTATTTGTAGTTTTCCACTTGCATACGGAGAACGAGGCAAACCTGTGAAATAAGATGGCGGAGAGCAATTCAACGTTTTTATCAAGCTCTACAATGGAGTGGTTTAAATAAGTGACTTTTATTGATTAGAATGGTCAAGTCAAAGTACACGCATGGATCCAATCAAGGAGGATCTGTGTCAAGATGTGAAAACTGACGTTCCCTAAATCTCATTGCATTTACAGAGAAAAAGAAGAAACATTTCAGTCCCTGGATGTGCAAAATATATGTCCAAGAAGCTAACAAATGAGTTTTCATATTCTTATTTTATCACCTTCCTAAAATAATGGCCTAAGTCATTTTTTTGCCATTTTTTTTTCCATCCAAAATCACTCTTGGCAAAAATGATTTAAATCATTATTTTAGGAAGGTGACAATTTGTAAAATGGGTTTTGCGAAACCACATAATTTCCTTCATTTTCACAGTTTTGAACTAATTTGTGTTGGTCAATCAATTAAAATTGCAATAAACAGATTGAAGTGCTTTATTGTAACATGACAAAAAGGTAGTGGATCATTTTTCAAGGCACTGTGTATATCAACTTTGTGACCTCTGTTTTTTCATTCAAAATTCAGTGGAATGTGAGCAGAGTTTCCATTTTTGTGCATGTTCCTAAAGAAATATTAATAAATCTTGTAATAATAAGAATGGAAAAGATACAATGGAAATTTGGTCTATGTGTCATGCCATGTTTTATGTTTTTTTATGTTTTAAAGAAATTAAGGCCTGGGCTAACAGCCCAACAAAAAGTAGGTACATAATGTGGAGAGAAAATGCATTAAATTACCAAAAGTATAGGTGAGTATATGCAAAAACTGTCACAGCGTTGATAAAAAAATAAATAAATAAATAAAAACTATCCAAAGATAAAAGATGCATCATGGAGAAATGACCTGTGGCCATAGGAATCAGGCTGGGAGGCACTTGAGACTTGAATGGCTGGAAAAGGGTCTTATGACAATTCCAATGTTCTGTCAAACTGTCCTGCCAAAAACTCACTAGATTTGTGAGACATGTTTCTGGATGTCAGTCCGCAGTTAAAGGATAGTTTAATTTGAAGATATATTGGTGATAGTTTTCATTTACAAAGTTAAAAATAACTGCAAACCCCAAACTGAAATAAAACTGAATAACTTTATCATGCTCGTCTTATGTAACCAAGTGATCTTTGAGCTCTGCATTGCTGTCTCGTAGCCATCAGACAGATGCCAAAAAGAATCTGGCTCCCTCAGAAACAGTGAAGGATATAACCCATGTGCAAAGCTTCTTGTTTGCTATTGGCTCAGGCTTGACTCTTGATAAAAATTAATTCGAATACCTCCTGTCAAATACTCAAGGACAACATGCAAATCCATTTCTGACTAGGTGTATTGTTCCAAAACAGATGCTGCACAACTTTCAAAAGATTGATGGATGCTCCTTGGGCTCTGGGAGAGGTTGACATGGATCCAATGGAAAAGTATCTCGTCAAAATAAATCTTGTGTGGTGCCAAATTGCATAAACACACCTCTGGGCTTCGAGCGAGACTATGCAACAGAGAGAACCTGCAGGGAGAAAACCTGAAATCACTGATAAGACACTGTGGTGATGCATGTCTGTTAAGGGGCTACTACATTTGCCACCCCTAATTTCGGTGAGACACATGTTTTAATTATTGTGACTTGTTGAAAAAAATTTGACACGGTCTCTTGATTGGAATTTCCTATCTTTCCATCCATGAAACAAGTTAAAAGAAACATGGAGATGTAGTGTGTCTTCAGAAACTGGCTATCAAAACAACATTGCAACCCCACATCGAATGCACAACAGCATCACCAAGTGGTCACACCGAGGATGCACACTGTGTAGTTTATTGCATTAAACTATTGTGTTTACATTTTTTTTTAATTATAGTTAGAGACACAGTGGAAATTGTTTATTTATAATGTGCTTGTTTGCGTAAGTGTTTGCACAACACGGCAAAAGTCCATGCCTAACTCCTGTTGAAAAATTGCTGAAAGACTTCAAAATCATTTTTAAAAGACACTATCAATACATTCTTACAAAGTTTCAGCTATTTTAGCGGGGTGGACATTTTCGGTGTATAGTTAGTATGTTTTCTAAAAATTGCGTTGAAATGTATTATATACTTGCCTTTAGTAAAAAATAAATAAATAAATAAATAAATAAATAAATAAATAAATAAATAAATAAATAAATAAATAAATAAATAAATAAATACAATGAAAAAGACATAGATAGAAACCACTGACGGTCTAAAAATATGTTTAAACTGCTTCATATACCTATACATATTTTAGCAAGGTCGCCCTTGCCAGTGGTTAGCATTGTCCTTCACGTCACTCCGTAGTTCTTCCTTTTTTCTAACTGTGTAGAGACTAAAGATGGCTGAAGCTTCTCCATGCACAAGCCGGTTCTTCTGTCACAGATGCTCACTGGAGATTATTCCTCGGCTCCCCGTGAGTATGAGTAATAAAAAAAATCACTGAACACAAAAGCTCTGTCAAGAAAAACATCACGGGGTTGTTTTTGCTTCCATACACTTCGGTGTAAGTGACGTGACAGTCGTTAGCATGCTAACTCCGCTAACAGCCTCCTGAGATGGTCCGCGTATCATTCACCTCAACCTACTTAGCTGATTATCTTTGTTATAATCAACTGCGTACTTGCTATGGTCGCTTATATGCCACTCGCGTTACACAACTTGCATCAGAGTTTATTTAATTTCTTAATGCACCCAAGTGGCTGTGTTGAGGCTAACTGCTAACTGTTTTGATCAGTGGTGTTATATTTAACGTCCAGAAAGGACCTGCGCGGATTCTTTGATTAAGAAGTGTATTTGTTTTATTTTTAAGCACGGCTCACATTTGTTTAATACATTGTTAGCGCGTCGTCTTATTTAATTAACTGCTTAGTCAGTTTGGTTAGCCGCTCGGGTAAACAGCAGAGTTGCGCTTGCTTGTCTCTGGTCGTCTAGAATGATCTGTCACTCCGCAGCCAAGCTCTTGAAAACATTAGCCGTCGATCTCCGCAGCCGCCGCTAATACAACTACGCAACACATACGGCAGATAAGACGTGACTTTGCTCTTTCTGTAAGTCAAGACGTAAAATGCAATCCCCTACAGTGTGCATGTAAATATGTGGTTAGAACTTCTTTAAACGTCTGTTTAACGTCTGTGAAACTGGAGGGGGGTTACCATGGAGCCAGCAGCAGAAGGAACGGCTCGCTGCTGGTTTTTCCATTTTAACCATGTAACCATAAATCTGATCTAGTATTTTATCGATTTCAATGCTATGATTTTGCACGTTGCAACTTAACTCTACCTGAATTGTAATTTCCCTCCTTACATTTTTCATGGTTAGGACTAGGATGGGAAAAAATGATTGTGCTGTGTGTTGTTACTGTGAATGGCTATTTAATCTTTGTAATACTTTGGATGTATTATAACAATGATAAACTTAACAGTACAATGTTTGCAAAGTTCAAAACTCAAAATCTAGTGTTGAGATTGTGATTATTTAATTTATCCACTCTTTCTTCTATGAGGGCAGCAATAAATATCCATATCTTTAGACTTATAAATACTCGCGGATAGGACGTGCACATTACAAAGTTTTAAATCATCTCTTAGTTTTGTGTTGCTTTTAAATTAAAAATGTTTGAAGGTGACAAAAAATATGAAAATATCACTTGATGTTTATGTGTAATTGGAAGATTAATAGCTGAACACCAACTAAAAATTCTGAAAAATGCCAACATTTAACAAAAACTTAAATACAAAAGCAATGCTAAGTCTGGTGGGGGCACAAGTAAAGCCTTGTGCCACTCAGGCTTATCATAGACTGGGAAATAAAATGCACTCTGTGCTCCTTTGCTAAAATGTATAAACATTAAACCATGAGGGAATCGTTCTTGTTTTGCTTTGTTTTTTTGATTCAGAGATTTTAAGTATGGCAAGTAATTTAAAGTATAGCATTCAGCATTACACTGCATTGCAACAGCTGTTCATAAAATTATAGTACACAGTGACATGTCTGTTGTTGAACTTTTTTTATAATCTATGCTTTTTTTTTCTTCACAGGAATATATGTGTCCACAATGTGAGTCTGGATTTATTGAGGAGCTGCTGGAAGAGAGAAGGTGCATGTAAAGTAGTAACTAAGCACAATGTACCAAATATCCTGAATTATTTAGATAAATATGCGTGATTAGACCACTGTTTGTTATTAGACATATTTATCCATATATTTTTGTCTTTACCAAGTAGAAGTTTCATTGTCCTTGGTGACATACAATTATGAGGCCACCTCTGAAACCCATCATGTAGTTGATTTTAATCAGATTTTCAGGACATAGCTTTTAAATACTTAGATTCAGGTAAGTTAATGACATTTAGGTTTTATGTTGTGCATAACAGAGTCCCTAACTTTTATTTGGATGAGTCTTCCAGATAGAAAATCGACTGCGGGTGTTAAATATCAACTGGGTTTTATATTTTGCTTTAATATTACACTTTTACCTAGTATAATGATCATGTTACCAGAATGGGCAAATATTTGAGGAGGCATGGTCTATTATTTGCATCCAAATCAAAACTGGAAGGGTTGATAAACTGGGCAAAAAGTGACAGTAAAACCTGCTAATATAAATATTTTAAATCATTTTGGTTTGAAAAAGTGGAAAAACAATGTTCCTATTAGGCTCCCTTGTAACTTTGTCAACAATCTGCTTCCCTGTCTAGTGCTGACAATGGGTCCATGTCCACCATCTCCAGCGGACCCCAGAACCAACAACCATTGGAGGTTTTCAACCTAATCTTTACTCAGATTATTTTCTTTAACAAGGAGCTGCTTGTGTCTTTTGACTCCTGTGACTCTGTTATGCACACTGTTGTGTAACAGAGTCAGCAGTTCTTAAAACTGCTTTAGCTGACATTTTTGTTGAACCTATAGTTGACATGAGAGAACTTGTCATAGCTTTCAGTTCTGCTTTTGCACATTATTTTTGCCTTTTGTGAAGTTTACCTTATTAATAAGGCATTGAGCTGTTCATTTCTTTTACTATGCTGTTTTCTTTTTCCAGAATATGGAGCAGCAGTTATCTATGTTCCCCTCCGGCTTTGGTCAGTTTTCCGTTAGCCTCGTTGATGACGCCTTTTACCTTGGGCTTGGGCTTGGACTAGGGACAGAGGTCAATCGGGATGCTGAAAACCAGCCAGAAAGGGACATGTCGTCTCGGCAGCGATACGGTGCCAGGCAGAGTAGAAGTCGTCATGGTTCAAGACGGCAAGCAGGAAGGCACGACGGAGCTCCTACTTTAGAAGGGTGAGACATTTAAACATTTCTGCTTTCCTAATAGCGCCACCCTATTTTTCTAAATGTTCCTTTTCTCTCATTCTTTGCCGTTTGTTTTTTTTCATAGTATCATCCAACAACTTGTGAATGGAATAATTGGATCTCCTGCAAATATTGGTGTTGGGGCCTGGTGAGTCTGTGGCACTGACATTTGAGAAGCAAAGAGATAAACTTGCAGCAGTTTCTTTAGCTCTGTATCTCTCATTTTAAGGGGGGTTCTCCACTCCAATCCAATGGACTATGCTTGGGGTGCTAATGGACTTGATGCTATTATAACACAGGTAAAAAAAAAAAAAAGAAGAATAAACAACAAATAAAATGTAAGTTATGTTTTTTGCAAGTCTGAATTATAAATCAAATAATTCAATTGTGAATGTTTTCTCTTACGTTCAGTTATTAAACCAGTTTGAGAACTCAGGGCCACCGCCTGCTGATGGTGACAAAATAAAAAGTCTTCCTACAGTGGAAATTACCGATGAGCATGTTGGTAAGTAAAAAGGACGAAAAGCAACAAACTATTAGCAGCTAAAACTCTAGACATTCAGATCACTGCACTATCTGGGCACGGTCTGAATGTAAAGCGTCCAGTAAATTAATTTACTGGACGCTTTTAACCGCACAATTACCTTGACACGATGGTGTAAACATGCTAGCATTAGGCTAGCGCATTGACAAAGTTTTCCATTGCCAATAGCAACAAGGTTTTGAAGTTTTTTTCAAGAGTGTAGCTGTTTGTTTGTGACTCTGACGTTTTATCAATAATGAATACGGTAAATCCCCAACAGCACATCCATATAATAGAAGTTCATAATACTGTCTTTCTGTGGGCGAATCTGGTAAAAGGTCAGGTTAACATACTCTGTATACCTGACGTTTTCACACACTTCTTTTCAGCCTCAGGACTGGAATGTCCAGTGTGTAAAGAAGATTACAGTGTTGGAGAAAACGTGCGACAGCTCCCCTGCAATCACATGTTTCACAATGATTGCATAGTCCCCTGGCTGGAACAGGTATTTCACGTTATCCTACCCCATTTTCCCTGCTGTTTACTGTAACCATTCACCAGTTGGTGTATGAAACAGGGTCATGAAGGGTAAACATCCATAACACCCATGTGTTTGTTTTGTGCAGCACGACACTTGTCCAGTATGCAGGACGAGCTTGAGTGGACTGAACACGGCAACAAACCCTCCAGAACTCTCAGAGATGAACTTTACATCCTCCCCTTCCTCCTCGTCCTCATCGTCGTCCTCCTCCTCCACCTCTTCTTCCCCTCCGTCCTCAGATTCCACCAGCAATGAGAGCTCCACTGATAACTCGTAGGCAGGGTATTTGTATCCGTCACCTCATGAGCCGGTTTCTGCTCCTCGGCTGAGCAGTGACCTCCAGTCCCTCCCTTCTGTAGGGCAGAGGCCTGAGTGCATATCACCAGGATCACTCAGGCCTGTTTCAGGGGTAAGTGATACATGTGTTTATGTATTTCTGCCCGCTGTGTCCCCTCCCTGCCCCACCTCCACCACCTTCATCAGGAACGTGAACAATGGAAGGGCAGACGCCTGCGGTGCAGCTTCTGACTGGGAGGATGTGGAAAAGCGTGAAAACTTCAAGAGATACATGGAGCTCAAAGCACCTCTTAAAAGAGGAGAATCCAAAGGTAGAAGACCAGGAGCGCCAAGACAATGTACCAGTGTTTTTGTAAACCTCCAGCCTTGGTTGATGTAATATGGCCCACTTTTGCGATAGGCAAAACGAATGGGTATTCTTTTTTGTAATAAGTTGCGTTAAAATCTTTTGAGTGCACAGCTTCAGTGTGCATTCAAATGTATTTATGGTGTGAGTGAATATTACACTTCAATATCTTTCCAATTAAAATTTACAATAGTTTGTAGAATTGTTTATTTTGAACAAGCGATTTTATCTAATGAATTGCAGTGATTGTTTGAATAAAACTAGTCTTTCTTTTGGGTTCAGTCCGTGCTAACCTAAGTATTTAAAAAAAAAAACAAACAAAAAAAACGTGAGATTCCTTTTAATCTCAGCTGCTGCAGGTTTTTTTTTTGACAAAATCTAAGCATTACAAAAAGAAAATGACAAAAAAACAGTTTATGATGTAAATGTGCGCGCTCGATGTATGGAGGTTTTTAAATGCTAACACAGAGGCCCACTTTGCACATGGCCAATTTGCCTTTTTTTTTGCATATGCAGTGAGGCAGTAAATTTTTTTTCCATATTTGCCTTTTGTCCTCACCCTGCTTTCCTGTAGCTTCAAACTAAAGCTGCTGAAGGTATTATTGCTTTGTTCATGTTGTTTTTGGAAGTTGAAATGACCACACACTCTGATTGAGAGGGTTCCTGTCGCAAATCAGAAAACACTGGGGTTTGCTAATAGTTTTGGTGCTAACATTTTTTAGCAATACACACCTACGATACATTTCTCATAATATTGAAACTCAAAAGGAATCTAGATTCTCTGGAGCACTACAAGGAATACAAGCCATGAGAATTGTTTAGTAATGTCATTATCTTCTATCTGCATCTACCCGTGCAGGATACTGAATTGAGAGCTGCTGTACAAGCTCCTACTTTATCATCTGGAATACTTAGGTGGTAATTCACAAATTTGAATTGTTTCGCTAACTGAGAACTCTTAAAATCCGACTTCAGAGAACAAAAAAACACTACTTAAAAAGACTAAAATGTATGTTGGAGAAGAGAAACTGGAGCTGAATCTTTAGCCCAGCTCTGCTTTTGCAGTTTTATGCATTGTTGGAAATGTCAACGTTTCGCTACTTGCTGGCAAACATAAGTCTTAAACATTTTTCAACTTGAATTTGTAGATTCAGAGATAAAGTATTAGTTAAGAAATATCTATAGCAAAATAGCTGTGCTGTACTACTCATTAGAATATGTGGGAATCATGTCTTATTCTTTGCATAGTATTTAAAAAATGCATTTTTATTTTATTTTTTTAATAGTTATTTACTAATGTCTTCAGTTGAAAAATTTTCAATTGCAAACATGACTATGTAAGGAAAGAAAATGAGCATTATATGTTAAGACCAAGTCAAGCATGCTTAATTGCTATATTCTAAAATATCAAGCAGCTGTACTAGAAGAACAATAATGTTGACAGATTTACAGTTTTCTCTGAGGTCTAATCTGTTTGGTTCCAATTCTAGTCATTTTTTCCCCTTAATATCTTTAACATATAAAATAGGAAAAAGTTTGGGTTTTAAATTTTTTTTCACTAACACTGGTGATTTAAAGCTGGCAGAAACTAAGAAACCGCAAGGATTTCAGTACTCATCAAAGCAGAGCCCCCCTAAGCCTTATCTCGTTTTACTTTTGATTAATCTCAAAGTGCATCAATGTGCAATCTATTTTTCGATGCATCTCTGAACAGTACATGCAAAAAAAAAGAACTATTCCATGTAAACCTCTCAAACTAATGTGTTTTAACTGCTGTGTGGATGGATTTGATTAGACTAGTTTGTGACATTGTGAGTAGAAACCTCTTTATTTACCGTTTCAGAGCTGTGCAAGATGTGGGATGGATGGAATAAAAAAAATGAATAATGTGATGATTTTTAAAAGATATATTTAAACATGTTGAGGTCTTTGGTTTGCAGTCTTAATTTATGTGTTCCTTTCATCTTTCTTTGCACTCTCTGAACAATTGAGGAACAATAACCCCATTAGCAAAGCTTTTGAACCTCTTTTCAATGCATAATGAGGCTTTGAGATAATTTTGTACTTTCAAAGTGATGACTGATCCAGTGGGATGCAAACCGCAAACAAACTCTGTATGAAATCCTTTACTTCTGCACTTGCCTGATAAATTTCATCAATAAGCAAACTACGTTCTACTTCCTTTTATTGTTTAGCTATATGTGTGCATTTCCTCTACTTTGTACCCCGCATTCTCCTCTGGGACGTTAGGTTCTAAGGCCTTAATCAGAAGGGATTGTTGTGGTGGACAGAACACTTTGTGTATACACACAAACGAGCACATTTGAGATTGATTTTACAATGTGAAAATTAATCTATGTTCAACTTCACATTATTGTGGATGTGAAGTGTTTATGCCAGAAATTGGACCCTGGGAGGCTAATTTAAAGTCTGATTACGTCAGTTTCAGTGCTGCAAGTCAAGTGCTGCCTCTAATACCAACAGTATTATTTTATTGGGTTTGTTGAAGCTTGCAGATGTTTTTTATATGAACAAAGGTTATATCAAAAAGTTTTTTGCAGAAAAATAAGGAATTCTACAACAGTATCTAAACGGTAGTATTAAATAAAACTGTCTAATTTATTTTTAACAAATCATTTTTAAGTATGTCATGAGATCTTCTTCCTGAAAGTTGAAATTACATTTAAACTGCCTGCTCTAACTATTCACAGCCGTGGTAAAGATGTTTAAAACCCTTTACATTTAATTTATTGCAATGGCAAAAAGTTGCCCTGAAGATGTTCGAAAAATCCAAAACAAAATGTTAACATAAATGTTATTTTCAAAATCACTTGGTGGTGCATTTATTGATATGTAGAGACACCTTTAGGCATCTGATGTATTTTCTTACCTTGGATAATTGAGAAACAATTGATTAAATTTTGAGTTGTATGCCAACATTTTTGGCATGCAACAAATTTTTAGTAAATGCCAAAATTACACACAAAAAAATACATACAAAAATCTGGCAAATTTTCTTTGTAATTATGTTACAAAAAAAATATAATTCGTCCTAGCAAATTTGTTAATTAATGTTCCATTTAGTATGTCTCTAAAATGGTGTCGATTAGAAGTCAGGCCTTTAGTTACAGCAAATGGTTAAAAATAATGGAACGCGTTTGCGTCGCCACGCCCATTTGTTTTACGTCATGTGTACGTGCCGATGAGGGCGTGTGCGTAGAGGACGACCAAGCACATCAGTTCATTGTCGGCATAGAAGATTCGGCTTCAGGACCAAGGAGGCGCGCGGGAAAAAAAGTAGATTTTTTCCCGCAAACAACCTCGCATCGTGTTTATTCGTGGTGAAAATCGTTAATAGTCATCAGCTATGAAGTTGCTGTGGGCTCTCGCTGCCCTGCTTTTATGCTGTTGGCGAGCCGACGCGTCCACAGGTAAGAATCGTGTCAGCCATGTTGGTTCAGTGTAGACTTTGCCCCGACTACGAACATTTTGTTTTGCTCGCCGTCCTCAAACGGTTTTCGTAGCGAAACGTACTTTGGCTGCAACAAAACAAAACTGACACACAACACAAAAGAACTACCAGAACGTTTGAACTCTTCTTTGGTTTGGGAGGTTTGAACGGGTGTGTCTTGTTGATGTACCGTTGAAACGTTTAGCTAATTTGCCGTAGAGAAGGCTAAAGAGCGTTTTATGTAAACCGTCTTAATGACGCAGCGTGGTGCTAGGAAATCTGCGTTTTGTCCCTTTAAAGACACGCCTTGCACTAACAAACGTATGAATAATCTAGGAAGGAGATGTTTTTTTTTTTAAAGGGGGAAATTATCAGCGTCCTCCGAGTAACGTGCGCCCTCTGCGCTGTGGTAAAATTAACCTCAGATTGCGTAACTTTTCATATGATTACTTGCGTTACTAACCAGATTATCTGCCCTTTTTAATTTAATGGATTGCATTGGGCACCATCTTGTGTGTTTAAAAGATTATGGTCCTTAGCGAGTCTATTGCTTGACGATGCGACTCAATTCTGAAGCTGACTTGCTTTTAAAATCAATACAGGAAAAAAATATCTAAAATGACGCAAACGTATACTAAACATTATTAGTTACTGGTATAATTAGATTCGCAATTTATTAATCTAAACGTCACTCTGATTTCCACGATGACGTTGAATCCAAAAGGACATTTTAATTACCCCAAATAGATCCCAGAAACTTGTTAAAAAAATTTCCAGCAGTAGCATTTTATTGCATTCAAAATAGTTTGAACTTTTTCTTCAAGGTAATCCCTGAAAAAGGTTTGATTATGCCAAGATAATTATTTTGACACCGTAATAGTTGACTTTATCTTGGTGCAGCACTGATTGATTTACAGTAACTTAAACAAAATAATCCTTTTTTGTGTAATACTGTTTAGGAATTCTTAAAACATTTTAAATTTTTTGGTGTGTCTATGTCAGCACATTCTACTGGCGAGGAATGTGTCCAACCTACTTAGACCCTTTTTAAAAAAAAAACAAAAACCCTAATTTGTTTTATAAGGTTTTGACTTTGCACCAGTCTTTCAGCGTAAATGTAACACCAGGGCTACAGATTTGAGTTTTGAAGTGTTTTCCATGGATTTAAAAAAGGTGAAAAAAAATTTGGCTGATTTAAAAAAAAACAACAACAAAAAAGAAAAAACAATTATGTATGTATGTTTTAATCCATTGTTTTATTTATGATTTTTTTTTTGCCCCTCTTAAAAAAAATCTTTTCAAATGACTGTTTATTTCAGTCTGTAGCGTAACTTTTTTTTTGAGGTACATTGTCGTTGCTGCCCTCATTCAAATGTCAAATACTAATTTTGGAAATTTGAACTTTTAAAAGAACTTCATGCACTAAATTCTTAATCTAATGTTACAGAACATATGTTTAAAATAGAAAATTGCATGCAACCAAACTTTACTGTAGGCTTCTGTTTAATTTGAGCAGCCATGCTGCACAAGCTGTGAAGGTGACCTTTGGTAATGGTGGAAAGTTGCAAGATATGTACAGCGCCTGAAGCTTTTGTTGACAACCAGAGGGCCCTCTTCTGACCTGCTGACATTTTGCATTTTGTCAAAGGTTATGAAGACAGCTTCAGTCAAATGTTTATACACAGAGCTTTAATATTAATAGACAGTGTGGTTTGGCAATAGCACGTTCTGTTTGGGAATATGCTTTTTGGTTCGCTTGCATGTTGAGCAGCCATACAGCTCCGCTCTGTAAGGGTACATGGAGGTCAGCTATACTTGTGGAAAGGACAGGAATCCTAAATCACTCCAGCAGGCCTTTATTACTTTAGTGCTCTAGTTGTCATACTTGCTTGCCTATCTAGCATAATCCTTGTGATAATTAAACCTGA